TGGAATCTAATTGGCGTACATGACCAATGAGCAGCAGTGACGAGTTGACGGTCGCAACGTATGCAGTTTTACGTAGGAATTTTTTAACTGAGGTGTGCTTACAAAAATTGAAGGTAGGGGGTAAATAATTTCGTCTTAATGTTCAAGGAAATATGTATTGCGCGCATGAACATTCTCTCTGCTATTTTTCACCTTAAATTCAGAAAAGTGTGGTTATCTATCACGTATTGTAACCGTTACGCGGTTGGAATATTGTCGGACTTTCTTACTTTCTTCACAAACTGTTATTTGTCGTAGATCTTTCACTTATGGATCATTTAAAACATGTTTGACGTGTGCCCACTGCACATTGTGAATAAATGACAAAAAAGTCTTTTGAATCGGATATTTTGTATAAAGTTTGTTTTCGGTTGTAAAAAGAAAATTATATTTTGGAATTGTTGGAGGGTTCTTAGAATTGAAATGTGCCTCCGACGACCCGACGGCTTTAATTTAGACCGCAGATTTCGTGCAAAAAGTGTGAAATCTGTCCCGACACGCTTTTGTGACTTCTCAGTCTCGGGCTAAAAGGAGTGTGATTGATCTCCCCCATGGAAAATTGAAACGTCTCTGCGAGTGCGCGAGTTAAAAAAAAGAGGGGGCGGGTCCCACATCCCAGACAGACGTGGGATGTGCAGGTCGGCGCCGGATTCCTCTATTGGACAGAGGTAGAACACCGCTACCTCCTGAGATAGATCAAAACTTGCGGCACTAATATAACCTTGGTAATTCGATGCAACCACGATAGTTGCGCACCAGGAAACAATACATCATCAGTCGTGTAATGTAAGATGTAGTAAACGCTCTTCAGGACTGGACCTACGTCTAGAGTGGAAGTTGGAAGTCCCTATCTTCGGGCTCTAAGAGCGTGCATCGCTGTGGGCGGGGTACACGACGCCGGGTGGAAGACTGGCGCCGTGCCTAGCATCCGTGCGCGTGCGGTCTACGTGCGTGCGTGCGTGCGTGCGTGCGTGCGTGTGCACCTCGCGCGGCGGAAACGGGTGACGACGGTGCAGCGCCGCAATTGTGTAGCGGCGCGCGGCGCTCGGGGAGGACGCGAGGCCACGAGGCGTCGAGGGGGGGGGGGGGCGCCACTAGCTGCGTCGCTAGAGCGCGCTTCTCGCGACCTCACGCGCCCATGCACACGAGGGCAGAGACTCCTGCTCCAGCCTCTGGCGTGATGTTGCTGCTTAGTGCAAATAAACTTGAGTTATGAAAGAGTGAAAATAATATAACAATATACAGTGTAATAATAGCAATAATAATAATTATTATTATTAATAATAATATACAAAATAATAATAATAATATACAATTTAATAATAATAATAATAATAATAATATACAATGTAGTAATAATAATAAATACGGAAATATACGTCGCTCTAAAAAAATGTCATTCCTGAACCACGAATTACTTTTGCGTGTCTATTGTCTCATCTTTTCTTTTTGAAAGCCAAAGAAGAGTTATCTAAGACATTATAAACGTAATTAGCGTGATGTAATATTATTTCATTGCAGGAGTTTGTTTCGCAAAAGAACATTGAAAGTTCGGTGTCTTGCATTTGCAGTATTTTTACTTATACGCGCGCGTATAATTACTATAAATATTACGTATTACTACTACATATGTACGTGTAATATATAAGTAGTGTTGACAAAGTTATGTAAGGTTGAGCAAAAAATGGCCAATTTTCGGCAGAAGAACTCTCATTGCTGGGCCCTGATAATGAAAACTCCAATAAATCCAGTTGCTAAATGAACGACACAAAAAATATCTCTTACACGTAATGTGGCTAGAATCCCTGTTTTGTGGGTCTTGGATACCGAAAAATCAATTCGCAGCAAAACGTCGGTATGTCTGTGAACACTAAAAGCACTTAAACCATACCTAGGACTTTTTCAAAATGTATATTCCGCAGTCGATCAGGCTAGACTCGAAGCGCTGAGATTTAAAAAAATATTCATTAATTTTTGTTGTTTCTTTACTTGAAGCTCTCAATGACAGTCAAGATTTTCTCAAAAATTGCTCCAAATTTTTTCCGTATATTCTTTAATGAAAACAGACAAATATAAAGATAAAATGTTTCATCGAAAATCGCCATATAGGACGAAGTTTTACTCTTCTTTTATATTTTAAAAGTAATATTTCGGTTTTACTTTTAGCAAATAGATAAACTGAGAATTTCAAAGAGTTTACTTTGGGTGGTAACAGATGGCAGCTGGCAAGAGTATGTGGGAAGTTCGAATACCTAGCCAGACCAAAGAAAACGGAAACTAATACGGGAATGTCTGTACCATTTTTGTAATTCCACTATTTCTGCTACTGTAGAACATTGTTAAGGGCAACTACGTCAGTCGTCGAAGGTTTGTTTATAAGAATCTTTATTAATAGTTTCTATTTATCTTCCGTGAAAGAAAGACTCTTTTGGGAAGTTTTAAACGACGCGAACATTTTATCACTAATTTACATTAGGTTGACCCTAACCTGGATCAGTGATATAATACTTTTTATCTGTAAGAGGTTTGCCCACTCGAAGATCCATAGCTGATAGTCGTCTTCTTCACACACGATTACTCAAGAGGTTATGCTTGTCACGTAGGTTTTATGCTCTTCCTGTCTTCGAACAATCATTCATGTTCCTCGTTACGCGTACAACGTGACTAGTGGGCGATAACTATGTGATGAGAATAAGAAAACCGCCAGTCCTGTTTAAATCTTAAAAAGTGAATGTGGATTCTGTCGTTTCCCATTGTAAAAGATTACTTACAAATGGATTATTGACCAATTGAAATGCTGGAAAAGTGCATTGTTTGTTTGTAGGTGATTTACGTAAATGTTTATGCTTCCCTTGATAATAGACTTATAAATTCGTAAAGGATGTGAAGCGTAACAGGAAGGAATGGTGTCTTGGTATTTTCTTAGTTTCTCGCTGTCACCACGAGTGATGTCCCGTTTTGGAGCTAACAAACTAATAAAATCCCTGTGAACGTAAAAAGCAGTACGCGGTCTTGTACGAAGAGGTGTGCTTGTCATACAGAGCGCCAAGATCACTACCATCCGGAGGTAGAGGTGATAAAATGTTTTGGGGGTTTCTTGGGCGATTTTTGATGGTATGAATGGTTTAATGAAGTGAATTTTAAGATTTTCTACTTTTTTCGTGACTACTTAATGTGGAGTTAAACTTTTCGTTAATGTGAAGTTCAAATAAAATTGCCTTCATTTTACCGATATTGCGGTTGAAAATATTAATAATAGAGCTCCTTTGAAATAAAACACAAACGAACCAAAGATAGGACATAAAACCGTGTCCAGGGTAGGATTCAAAATCACAGAAATTTAGCAGAAAAGATTGTAGGATGAGGTTTTCGCTTCGACTTCGACGTTTTTGTTTTTATACACAATTGTTATTACCTTCTTTCTTAACAGCTTTTACAATTTTGCGGTTCTTTACAATCGGTACTGTGTCAATGTACTTGTAAAAAATATAAATTCAATTAATCACAAATCACAACCCACATGCTACTTATGAAAACACTGAGAACTTTCGTATTATTCCTTGTAACAGGCATGTAAATTCTTGTAAATGTTAATAAACAATAATTAATAATAATTAATAATTTTTTAATAATAAAAGTTCCTGAACCAAAAACAGTTTCAAGTCAATCAGCACTTTCTCTCTACCACAAATGAAATAAGGTGGTTTGCAAATTGATACTACCAGTAACGCGTAACAATATCAGCTGTGGTCCGATTTAAACATCCTTTTTAAAATGTAATTTAAAGGTATAATATATGGACACGTTCTTGTATGTATTTTCTATCTTCCCTTCGCTAACAACCTCCTCACACTGAAAATGCTTCACCGCGCTAGATCAAGACCTTCAACGCTACAACGAAACGACGTAACCAACAATTGATGGCAGATGAACTCTCGCTCTATTAATTTTACGATGTTATGCAAATGTAATATTTGTACTATCAGACCTGTTAAAATAAGCAAGCGAGAGTACATCTTTTGCTGATTGCCTTTCATATAAAGCAAAACTCATGAAATTTGGTGGAGTGGATAGGTGAAGTTTCTTTCTCAACAAAAACCTGTTGTGTTGTATGTACATCTCAATAATGATACTCGTCTCGTTGGCAGTGAGAATGCTGATGCAGCTGCAAAACTGATCCCATCATTTACATGCGCCGACAATGAAATTCCAGGCACTTTCCAAGACTTCAAAAAGTTTCTGAAGGACTTCTACCTCAGTTATTGGGACGTCAATTTTAAGTTGAATATTTGCAAACTCCATATAGTCGGACAATCTATCATGACCCAGCTCTCCCAAGAAAACACTTAAGGATTCCAGAACAGGCTTAATTACTAGACTAGGGATAAGTCATTTCAATCTTATTTTCTGCCATTTATTCAAGAGGCGAGATCCAGAACCCTGTCGAAAGGGTAGTGCAACACACTCAACATCTCACCTCTTTCTTGAATGTCCTTGTGTAATAATGTAAGGAAACTTCTGAAAATGGAAGGAAATCTGAAATCATTGTTCACTACCACCGACTTGTGTGCCAAGATACTAAAACTCTTAGAAATTACAAATATGAACCATGTTGTATAACTACTGAATATTTTGATTGTACAAAAGCTAGACGAAATATTTCAAGCAATTTGTAAAACTGTTTCAAAAAATTGTCCTTTTTTCTAGTTAAAACTGGAGTGTTTGTTTTACATTGTTGTATAATGATAGGGATCGCTGACGACACGCTTGTTATAAAGCAACCTTAAATCAATAAATGAAAATAAAATAAATGAATGGATATAAAATAATTGAATGAATGAATGGATATAAAATAAGTGAGTGAATGAATGAATGAATAGATATAAAATAAGTAAATGAATGAATGGATATAAAATAAGTAAATGGAATGAATGAAAATGTATTTTGTTAATTCGTTTCAGTGGGAGCGCGAGGCGGGCATGGCGGCGTCGGCGCGGCGCAACGTGGCCTTCATGCAGGGCTACAGCGACCTGCGCGAGCGCGTGCCCAAGGCGCCGGCGTCCGTGCTGGACGAGATCGACTACTCCCTGCGCGCCGGCGACCTGCTGCTCCCGGAGGCGGCCTTCATGCAGGTGCGCACATTTACCTCTCTACCACCACCACCACCACCACCACCACCACCACCACCACTACCACTACCACCACTACCACTACCACTACCACCACTACTACTACTACTCCAGAACGATCGCATTCCTGCGTTTTATCGGATACGGTAATGATGACGCACGGCTGTTGACCAATCACAATCGTCTTAGTTCATTATTCACGACAGTTTTTTTTTTTCTCTCAATCGCCTACAGAGAGAAATTACCAACTGCGCGCTCTGCCGCGGCAGATTGCAACTGTCGTACGTCAGGCGAACCACGAAACAGAATGAGAGTTGGTGTTTGTTAGTCAGAGAACACAGTGTACTGTTGCCGTTCTGGAAGGTAATAAGGCGCTCAATTTGTATTTTTTAAACATCAATTTCGAAGTCGTCGAAAAAGTGTAGTCTCCTACACGCGTAAAATGGCTATTATTCACTCGTAGAAATTGACACTCGCTCCCACGTCGCTCGTGTCGTAAACATCAACTCGCGAATAATGCCTATTATTTCACTCTCGTTGTATATTCTATTTCACTTTGTCCTCATAGTAAGATATATTTCCTGTACATTGCATGTATGGACATGGATTTCGAAACATGATTGATATGTGAATAAATTAAGTACATGGATACATTAAGTCAATTCAATAAATAATTGTTTATAAATTAAATTTTTGAAGCCGCATCCAGTACATGATGATCTGGGAGGTCCAAAGAACTGTTGCACTTGTTTCCGTTTTAGTCTCTTGTAGTGAGAATTTTGTTTACAATTTTTGAAATGTTTGGCTCAGGGAATTGAGGGATAGAAGTGAGAGAATATGAGGGCAACTGGAGTTAGATTGAAATCTAGATGTGTTTTAATGGTTCGGGGTAATTTATTTTGGAAAATCTCCATTTTTTGATATTTGATTTTCTAACTATCTCTATTCGTCTCCATTCCTCTCACCCTTATTGCCCCAGAAGGTATGTAAAAAGACCTAGGAATTAGTCCTCAAGATCGCCGAGAATGTGTAAGTCGGAATGTTGTGAATGGTAAAAAATTTGCAAAACAGTACGGCTTATTTCCAAAAATAAGGTGGATCATTGAAACGAAAGTATACAAAGTGTTAAACGAGAGGAAGAATGGAATATTCAGCTCGAGTAAGTCGCGATAACATTTTAGTAAAGGTGTCAAGTTTGCTTCGGTTTTTGAAATAACACTTGCAAAGAATGCATTGTTTACAGTAGGACAGAAATGAGAAGCGTTAGTATACTTTCTGTATATATTTTATACTATTAATGAAGTATCTTTTGTGTTTTACGAATTTACTATTAACTAAAACAGTATTCCAAATGCAGTGTCAAAAAGTGGGAATTTGTAAACGTGTTAATTTCACCACAGTATTTCCGTTTTTTGAGGTGTTGCGAGTGTGCACGAATGCGGAGGGACTCTGCTTGTGCAGGGACGCATGTGCAGCTGGGGGCACATCCGGGAGACGCGCTCGCGTGCCTTCATTCCCCCCTCCCCTCCCCCCTCCCCTTCTCCCTTAGCTTTTCTCCATTTACTTTTCCCACCCTCCATTCTCTAATCTCCAATCCCTCAGTCTTTCATCTCCTTTCCTTTCCCTCTCCATCATTCTCTTTTCCCACTGCTCCCGACCTCTTCTCCATCCTCCCACTTTCCATCCTCTTCCTTCCTTTCTTTCCATTCCATCCCGTCCTCACTCATCTCATCCTCGCTCTCATTCCCTTCTCCTCCGCCACAGCGCCCGCCGCGCCTCCCACGCACGCCCTCGCTCGTGGCTCCTTTCACACCTGGCTCACCACCCGCCCCTCCCCCCTCCCCCTCCTCTCACGCCACGCCCCAAGGATACGCGTTCACCCGCGCGTTGATGCCATCGCCGCCACCTGTCTGCCCCTCCGCCGCGACCTACGCCAACACACGGTTGCGTCATTAATGCCACGCGCATCGGAACTCTTTCCTCGTAATAATGAAAGGAAGTAAAGGTACACGTGTAATTAGAAGATTGGGCCATATGAGCTGCAAATATTTTCACTAAAAACTCTTGACAGGTTATGAGCCAAAATTGTATCCTCGACAATCAAATTTAAATAACGTAGTAATCCACGCGCACATACAAAGCACGAATGTTAAGCATTTTAGAGAATGGTCTGTCACCAGTTAGCATGTACTTATTAATATATTATTTAGGATAATTCGGTGCCCGGCTAGATGGTTTAACCTCGTATTTCTCTAGCGTTATTCCTGTGCTGGTATACGAAAATAAAATACCTAGCTAGAGAACAGATGAAATGGTGATTTAAACAAACAACAGTTTACAAAGATATTGCTAAACATATTTGTATATGACATACGGGAAGCTTAAAGTATGGGCAAAGAAAAAATAAAACCCATTTTATGTTTCAAGCTTTAACTCTGACAATTAGCCACAATAATATCGGATATGACTAATATCGACAAATTCAGATTGTTGCAAAATAAAGCAGTTGCTGGTCAACGCGATTGCAATATATTCTGTTTGCATGGAGTTAGTAGTGCATTTAAAACGAAGTTACTATTATCACGGATACTCGCGTAGTAATTTACTGGAAGGTTTTGGTATGTAAACAAACATTTGAAATTATGAACTACATGTCTGAGAACAATGTAAAAGTTAATTTCGTTCGAGACATCAGGAATTTTTTGCACAGCATTGCGTACAGCAATCGACAGCTTCTCTCGACCACTTTGTGAATCTGCGCGTGCGCGGAGGCTCGAGATTGCTGTCGGATGCTGTAAGTGGATTGCTGTATTACGGATACGAAATATTGGTGAGCTACTCTGCGCAACACCAGTTTGCGTCCCGAACCATGTGACCACGGCACGGCCTCTTCTTTTAAAAAGCCAGACCATACGTTGACCGGAATGTTGCGTGGAGAGTGAGAAATGTTTGAGAAACGTTTCTAAAGTGGTTAAAGTGACAATTTTTTACGGTGATCAATGGAAAATATGGTGTACACGATGAAATATGTACAGAAATGTTTTATATATATTTATTTCAATGACTTGTATGAAGGTGATTTTGGTATGTGACTGCATTTATAATTCTCCCTAATATTGTAACGCAAACTGGTACCTGAAGCTCATTGGCTGAAGTCGGATACAATTGTACAATAGCTCACTCATCTCTCTCCACAACGTATTGCTGCAAAAAGTCCATATGAGCCAAACATAAAACTTGCCTGACTATGTTGTGATGAAGCTTTGCCTGACTATGTTGTGATGAAGCTTTGCCTGACTATGTTGTGATGAAGCTGGATAGTGTTTTAGGTCCCATCAAAGTGATATTAGTGTCCAGAGCAACTCACGGTAACTTAAACGGGGAAGAAATATTAAATGTATCGTAATTAATGTAATCGAAGTTAGTGAGTTTTTGTAGTAGGGTGCCCTTGCTTTCATTTTAGGACAGTTCCTACTATCTGTTAGTTGACGCCTCCAAATCTATAGAATCGATGTACCCCAATGTTGATATTCAAATTATAAACCTCGTATTGCACAAAGTCTGTCATGTCATGAATATAATTTTTCAACACTAGTTAATGTTTATAACGATACGTAAATAGTGTATTTTGCGGATATGAAATATGGTTACGTGATATACATTTTAATGTTACATTGTAAGATTAAATGAACTTTACGCGTTGCAATCTTTTTGAAAAAGTTGATTCACAGGAAGCGATCCCGAGCATCGTACTTTCACAAGTAACACATTGTAACGATTCAGTATCCGTTTACCGAAGATGTGGAAGTTTATTTTAAATATTGCTTTTTGTTGAGTGATACTTGATGAACATATGGAGTCTTCATATGAATCTCAAACTTCCTACAACGAACGTCGGTCAACTGTGCTTTGTAAAAATACAATATACGCAGCAGCCTAGTTTTAGAAGAGTTTTCGTATTGTTTTGCAGAAGCTGAACTTCTCCCGCGCAGTGCAGAGGTCGCTGTCAGACCTTCGGGTGCCCTGCGAAGGTGATGCTGACGCGGATTGCGTCATGACGCTACCCGGTGAGTACACACGACCGTCTAATGGCTTAGCGTGACTGCTAATTTAACTGGTCACTCCGGCTGGTATTTTATTTATAACTTTTATTTATCTGCAAATTCATAATGAACTAATTTTTAAATATAATATAGTTTGGGATCGTCCATTCTTGGGCATTGAAAGTTACATAAAAAAAGATTTATTCTAAATAGAATAACATATTTTAAAAAAATAATGAAAATAAGAATTACGGTCGTAAATTAAATGTTTCACTACTGTCTTTCCATCTCGAAATGGCAGGGGCACAATCTCATCCAATATCTAGAGCCACCCCTTGTGTAGAGATATTGCTATATGAAGGGACAGCTTTGGCAACTTCTGCTCGGCCACTGTTGCCAACATAACTGTAGGTTATGTCCATGCACTTTTTTGTCTGTTTGTTCTTTTTCCGGTAACTCATTTCTGAACGGCTTCATAACTATATCTTGCAATGACACCGCCCTGGATGACGTTAATTTGTTTCCCGATTTTTCAAAGGGGGCCATTCTTAGAAACTCCTTCACAAACCGAAAATCCACCAAATGTAAAGTTGCTTTCCCGCACAGTCAGAACAGAGGCTGTTCCCGCGTTAGCCGCTCTTCTTGGCACGCACGTCGCTTGTAAACGCTGTCGATTGCGGGTTGTTGAACGCAAACGCACGACACCGCAAGGACGCGTTTCTGTCGCAGACAACGCGAGTTCTGCGGTTGTGTTCAGACAGCAGGTGATTCAGACCGCAGGATGGGCGTGTTCGCCTTTGAAAGGACCCGTGTGCCCAACCACCGATCGGCGTTTGTCTGCAATAAATCATTGTACTGATGGTGAAGTTATAAACGTTTTCTAAGCCACTTTTTTAGTTAAGTGCGGGAAAATTATTTTGAAACGTTCTTGTGGCGAGGATCGTAATCTCGCCTCGATGTTAAAATGTTTCTTGACATAGAATTGTATTGTATAATTAAAGTGAATGGCTGAAAACCAGAACAGTAGAAGTGACATTTTATAAATTCTGAGAAATGTGTATTATTCTGAGAAGTGTGTCAATATCACTGGAAAGTCGTGGTGCTTTGTTTCACCTAAAAAACCACGAAAATATATTTTCACTAAAATATAGTCTAAAATAAGTTTTCTCATAATTTATAAAGGGTTACTTATACCGGTCTGATTTTCACCCATTCAAATATTGATTTTTTTTTTCAGTCCATTTTTCATAGAATGCTTCCTTAGCTTATAATAAAACTAATCTCATATATTTGTTAGATTTTTTTAAGAGTAAACGGCTAGATTTATTTACCTCTAGATAAAAAGTTCTTTTGTATTTTTTCCTTTTCCGGCGTGGTATAGAATTGCCAGAGTGTAGTTTGATGTTCTACACTTGTAAGGTTTTAAATTCGTTCGCATTTCTGGATAAAAAGAGTTCTACGAAATGCATGCTACATTCACGCTTGATTATCGGAAGAACGAAGGTGGAAAAAAATAGAGAGAATGTGTCCCTGCCACGTTTTCCTGGTTTTCAGTTGCTTGTGATATTTCTAAAGCGTGATCAATTATGGCTAATGATTATGTACTTGCAACATGAAACGTAGCGTGCAAATAAATCGAAAGATTTCACGGCAACAAAACGTCATATTGACATAGGCATTCCGAAAAGAAGAAGAATTAACAATTTTGGAATATTGATCTCGTATCGTAATTCAACTTCAATTCCTTGAAATAAAAAATGTTAAACATACTTTAGCTTGTTAAGAGAATTTATTTCCACTCTTATTGTGCCTTGAACATACATAAATCTCAGCGACATTAGATATGCGATATTAGAACTTGCTCTGCATGCTGCACATATTACTCGGTTCACTGCATTATTTTCTCGAATGAAATGTTTCTTGACATTTCTGGTTTTAAATATTGCTTATTTTTCAGTCTTAGTCTTCATGAATCAGAAATTAAGAAATATGTATTCTGTATACTTTCTTAATATTCGTATGCTTTCTAACTTTTCTTTTTATGCGAAACTGGCCATTGGTGTTTCTATAAAATACAATAATAAATGCATACTTTTCATATCTAATGGCAATAAGGATGAAGGAGGCCAACTGAATGATCTAAACGAATTCACCAGGAATGACATTCACGCATCAAATTAAAAGTCCAATAATTAAATTATTTTCCCTAGAAGTTTGAAAGATGGAATTCGACTTACGATCATTTTACCCATTTTGGAAACGATACCATTGATAATCCTTTCCTGATTAGGAATATCCGAAGGCGAATATTTTACACCGCGGAGAAATAAGTTTGATTTAAAGGTTTTGATTGTTCGTTATTGCTATACCTCCCCGTGGTCGTCTTCAATGGGTGGGTTATCAATAAAGCAACATCGACTAATTGTGTGTCATGTGCCACTTACCAAAACTTTTTTTGCGATGCTTTTTTCGCTGTTCATTGCTGTGGTGAAACGCTACATTTTAGCGTATTTCTTTTCTCTTCGCGCAAGGTGTTTTTATTTTTTTCACTTGCTGCGTCTTAATGACACGGTTGCTGCTCCCCCCTGTCCTTCACGCTGATGCAAATAAAGCGTTTTGTTTTGCACCTGCAAAAGAACCCTGCGTGACGAGATAAGCTGCTTTGGCTGCAAAGGACGTGCGAAGTTAATCTCGTCTTTCAGGCTCGGCTCGAGCGTGGCCTAGAGAGTACGCTGTGAAATGAAGGGTACACGATCAGAGAGCGTATTTTCTCCTCTTATTGCTGTGTATCAAACACGAAGCAGCTCGGTCCGTGCGCATCTTTGAAAAAGTGCTTCTAAAAAAAGATCGTACGCTTTGTAAGTCGGTGAATATGCCGAGCTTTTCTAGGATCATAACGCACTCTTTGTGTGGTGTTAATGGTTTAGGACGCCACTCGCCTACTTGTACAGTATTTTAAAACTTTTTTATATTACTTGCAGCAGTTTAAGACGGATGTGTATTTTTTGTGCGAATTTATGCCTGTGGAAATTGTGGGTGACTAATGTTTTTTGCTTTGCCAATGAATTGTTTTGTTGAAAACTAGCGCTTATGAACTCATACATTTCTTGTAAATAAAATAAACAGAAAATTGAAAACAGAAGATGAAAGCTGCTAAAACCAATTTTACACAATTTTTCTCAGTGCACTTCTATACTGATTTCTTTACGAACATAAGTTCACATTACAAGGATTCAGTCCACCATTCACTTAAGTTTTGTGACAAAAATTAAAATTTACATTAATCATAATTCGCTGTGTTACTGACAAATGTCGTCTTCGTTCCATATCTCTGGTACGATCGGTTAAAGTTTTTAAGAAGAAATACACATATTTTCATAAATTCACATGCAGGGGCGTCATGCTGGGTTTGAATTTTCTCTCCGTAACTTCTAGAATTAATAATATATTAAAAGATTAATTCTGTATGCAACTCTGAAGGTGGTCCACCAGAGTTGCAGGACGAGTTCCTGGCAACAGGAATATTCGGTTCTGGAATATTCAGTCGGCGGTGGATGCTTAATTTATTGTCCTACGTACCTGCACGCAGTGCCGAGAATATGGATCAACTTACCTGTGAGATTTCCATGGTTTCCAGCGGAATCGACGTGTAATGTCAAGATCGTTATGTATCGCGACGAAGGTAGATAAACCTGAAAATTTTCGTTACTTTATTATATTTTCAAAACCAGATTTTCTGAAGCTATGAATTTACCTCGAACTTCCAAATTATTATACCGTGGATTCGAAAGTTGAAATAAAACTAACATTAATTATTACTTTTTTCTAGGAACGTTATGACGTCCTTTACCTGTCGTAAATATTGTCCAATGAAAAAAACATTGTTTAAATTTATTTTTTTTATTTTTTGGAAATCGTTTTTTGACATCACCTTCGTCGGATTCATATTAAAAAAATATTTAACGAAGAAGAGAAAACGATCAAAGCTTTTGAATTTCGTTGCTTTTTAAGCGCTTTTTGCATACACACACACACACACACACAATGTAATTCACTGCCATTCCGCTACAATTGAGTCGCTTTTTTCAATTATTCATTCATTCATTCCTTCCATCCATCCACATTCACTCCATAAGCCCCTTCATAAATATATTCCATGTTATTTGGTATTGAAATATATTATGCATATTATACTCTACCTACGGTTACGCAGCAGCACCGCTCTCCAACTGTTTGACGCGAAAGTTTTGATCTGCGAAGAGGTGCTGCTCCTCTTGAATGTGCGGCCGGCGCCTTCCGCGGCCGAGTGCCGCCGCGGGGCTTCCCTGCGCTGGCTTCGCCCCGGGCGCTTCCAGTCGACGCGCAGCCGTCGCCGCCTCCCAAAGAAACCCCTTATTTTCGACTTCGAGACGCCGCTTCCCCTCCCTTTCGGGGACTGAAATAAATGCGCTGTGGGGGGTGGGAAGTATTTCGAAATGGGGAGGGTCTAATTACTTGCGTAGTGTTTCTGAACACGCTTAGTCAGTATGTGAAGTTGTGGGTGGGCAAAGTCGCAACGGCAGGAATTCCGGTGAGTGAACCGAAGCGAAGGAAGGCTTGGGGGCATGAGGAGGGAGTGAAGACGGGGTGGGTTGAGGAATGACCGTAATACGGAGAATGCTGGAATGGAGCCTCGGAGACGGGATCGAAGAGCAGAGCGGGGATGTGGGGGGTGGATGGTTAATGCCGGGGACTTAGGTTAGCCATGCGGTGTAGTTAGTGGGGCAGAGAGGGACGGTGTTGTGGGATACCGTGTTATGCAATAGAATTACGTGTGATGGAGTGGAGTGGGGTGGGTTAGGCGGAAGCGGTGGCAGACGTTGGCAATCAGATTCATGTTTTTTTCCGGGGATGACTCGTCCTGTGGAGTGTTCCAATGTTGCTCATTCAGAGATGATCTTCAGAACCAAGGTTGTCTTAAGTGAAATTGCAGCTGATCATATGTTCTGTCATGTCGTGCACCGGGATAAGCTCTAAGCTCCCAA